TATATAAAATTATATTATACTAAGTATCATTTTTTTGGTTGACATCTACATATTATTGAGACACGTCTACCTTTTAGTATGTGTTGCCCTTTAAAATATGATTCTGCATTCTTTAGGATTTCATGGTTATAGTCGTATCTAGCTGTACCACTGTAAAATAAAAATCTTAAGTGACATGATAATGTAAATTTGAAGAAAGAGGTACTCTTACCTCATTATATAAAGAGATCTTCGTGGTAATAAGAAATCTTTATACAATGTTTCATTCTGAAGCAGCGTCAATCTCATTACACTATCAGTTAACAAACTTAAACCAGCAATAATCTCTCCACAAAACTGAGGAGAAAAATGTTACAAAATGTAACTTTACTTAAATTTGAAATTAATAATGCATTATATACCTTAATACTGTCAACATGTGGTTTTATCCATCCTTCTGGTGCCAGGTCCAAAATATGTATTAATGAAAGCTGAGACATCCCTTTAGGAAATGCTTTCTCTCGAATTTTATTTATTATTTTCACATTATTTTCATTCCATTCACTTCTCTCTGTCTCTCTATAACTATGTATTGCCTATAAGTATCAAGTAAGATAAATATGACCATAATTCAAATAAAACAGTAATTTGCATTGTACTAACATCATCCCAATGTGCTTCTTCGTATCGAAGTCTTTTCATGTAAGGATCAACTTCTTTCATTAAGGAGTTTTCTTCTTCAATAGTAATAAAATTTGGGAGAATTTGCATTGTATTGTCCAATTCCTCCTTCCAATTCTCTAGATTAATATCTCTCTTATTAAAAACAATTTTCGATCGCATATAATGTCTCAAATTAGCATAAATGAGAGTTCTGTTAAGAAAATTAGTAAATAAATTAAGTTCAATTCTCATTTTTCACGATGTTTCTTCAAGTTTCAGGTTAGAAACGAAAAATGATAAACACAGTATCAATCGACACAGACGCAATCGAATATCTACATATTATTCATGTGTTTAAGTACACATATCATGGAATAAATATAATTTTCTTAAACATAATAATATCAATTCAAAGATAAATATGTATTCTTTATTCTATACTACAAGGGGTTAAATTCGCTAGGTACGGCATTGGTACATAGCGGTTCCTTTATAGTTTGTAAAAGACCGCAAAAATGTTTTTGTATATTACATCGATATTCAACAAATACAATATAACGTTTAACTTAAAGGTATATTATTAAAAAAAAAAACATTTACAGATTACAGAGTACTTCACTTGGAATTTCATAAAGTTTAAATTGTTTTAATGGACCACTTTCAGTTTCCACCATGCTTTTGTTCGTATAGTTTCACCATTCATAATGAAACTAGATCTTTTTGTTACATATTTCAAGGTTACAAATCTGAATCACAGATGTTATTATACATAAGTGATATGATCATTTTAAATTATGGTTTCGACGGGGATTAGAGACGTGTTAGCCTCGATAGCATCGATTTGCACGGTTTTACAATTTTTAGCCGGCGTGTAAGTTAACATGCGAATTTAATGTGTCTGATTTATGTTAATTTGTAAGATTTCGTATAATTGCAACGTGGTTTGTTTACTTGGATGCATTATACAATAAACTTCCAAAACAATGAATGAATAATAATAATAACAGGAAAGCGCTTGTAAAACTGTGTTAAATAAATATTAAAATAATTACCTATTGATATTTGTTGGTTATTTAACCAGAGTTCATTTTTTTATGCTTGATTAGAAAGCTTTAGCAATATGTTTTAGGCTGGTGTGCAGAAAGATCATTAAAAATGGCACGACGGGAAATAGTTCAGCTTTGGCATTTGTAACATGTTATACATCGTAAGTGTTGCACATTTAGTAGACAAAAGCACATGCATATTTTAAATAAAGTAATCTATCATTAACAACTGTTTTTAGTTAACAAACATCTATATTCCTATTATGTTGTTCTTTGTTTTAATTTATACAGATTTAATTAGTTTTTAAATTGTTGTTTAACTATTGTAAATTGTATTATTTACAATTAGAGTAACATTTTTGTATAATATGTTACAGATGTGTCTTGTGGATGAAATATGGTTTGCTTATCGAAGATCAGTTTATATTGTTAGTGAATGTTTTTGGAACAATACTCCAGGCTTCTTATGTTTGCATATTCATTTTGTACAGTGTAAAAAAGTTCAAAACAGTCAAGCAAATGATTGTAGCAACTTGCTTTCTTGGAGCTGTATACTTTTATAGCTTTTATGAGGAGGATAAAGCATTAGCTGCAAAGTATATTGGTTTTCTTAGCTGTGCAGTAACAGTATTATTTTTTGCATCTCCTTTAATGTTACTGGTAAGTTTCTCTGATATATCCTTAGTTTCTGAGCAACATAAATGTCTGGTGATGAAAGGAAATATTTTCCAGGCACATGTGATAAAGGTTAAAAGTACAGAAAGTTTGCCATTTCCCATTATCATGGCTTCTTTAATAGTTTCTTGTCAGTGGTTTGCTTATGGTTGCCTTCTTAATGATCGTTTTATACAAATACCAAACTTTTTAGGTTGTGTATTGTCTGCATTTCAACTCTGTTTTTTTTTAATTTATCGAAACGACCAATGCAGAGAGTCTCATTTAATATAACATTAGGTTACTGTGGACTACTTGGACTATTTAGACTATTTATTATATACTAAAGTTAAATAATACATTCTCAATGTACTGATTCTTTTATTGTGTTTAAAACACATCAATAGTATATTCATAAGAAAAATATAAAATTGTTTTTGAAGCTGAAAGAAAAAAAAATATTTTTTGTTTGTT